GTGTTCAGAGACTGCCTGCACTGGCCCTGGTCAGCAGGTGGGGGCACTCCAGCAGCTTCCCAGGAGACTGCTGCACTGCCCCTGCCCTCAGTCCCTTCCCACCAGAGGGGGCACCACATACCCCCCACCACATACCCCCCCACCCCAACTACCCCTGCTGAGGTCTTGGGAGAAGCCAGGCTAGGCCCATGTGATGAGAGGGGCTCCCTTCCCCCACATGAGCCACTTAACAGCAGCAGCCTCCTGTTTGCACATCTGGAGCTGGGGCAGAGGGAGAAACTGAGCCCCTCCACTCCGTACGTCCTGCCCAGCTCCCCCCAAGAACTCAGCAGGGGTAGCCGGGCTGGGGCCGCATAGTAGGTGGGCTCCAGTCCCACCCCCCGCCCAAGCCTCCTGACAGCAGCAGCACATAGCTGCCGGTTCAGCTTTACCACAGCCAGAGTTTGCAGGGCTGGGAGAACAGAGCCCACACCCCCAGTTACCTCAGCTGGGGACTGGGGGAGGGGGAAGCCAGGTCAGGCTGGTGCGGTGGGGAGGGGCTCTGCTCCTCACCACCCTGCCCCAGCTCGGGCTGCTGCAAAGCTAAGCCAGCAGCTGCATGCTGCCGCAGTCAAGAGGCTGGGGTAGAAAGGGTAGGGGAACGGAGCCCCACCTGGGGGGGGGGGTCCACAAAACAGGTGGGGCTCCCTAATCACAACCCGCCCAGTTTCTTGACAGTAGTTTTAAAGTGTGCTGGGATCAAACTGAGTTGAATTTATTGGCAACAGGCAGTACTGTTTATAAGTTTGTTTCTGATCATTTTTGTTTGTAATTTTGTTTTACATAATTACTTTTGTATGACTACTAGTGCAACATAATAAAGCATTTTCAAGCTGTACATCTGGGAAGCGTTTTTGCAAAAAGTGGAAACTCTACACCAGGGGTTGGCAACATTTTTGGGCAGTGCCCAAAACACACACATCCTTGACTTGTAAGATGTTGGTAGATGGCAGGGGAACTGAGAGGGACTCAATCCTTGTTGTAGCAGTGCAGCCCCAGCCCCTTCCCACTATCCTCCCCAAGGTGTGTACCAAGCAAAATGCCTTCACATGCCACCCTCTGGCACCTGTGCCATGGGGTGCCTACCCCTGCCGTACACCTCATCCAAAACAAATTTTAAGGTAATCAGAATCCATATTAGTTAACCAATACATACTAGTATCATACATTAAAATCTAGGCTCAGTAAAAACTAAAGTCTCATAATACAGGGTCCTTTGTTTGCAATGCCATTTGGACACTAAGAATTTTCACAGGGAATTTTTTTTTGTTTGTATTTGCCAGGCTAAAATAACATTTCAAATGCTTTTAAACTTGCTTATATAAAGCTAAATCTACTCTTTATTTGGTTTCCATAAATAAGCAAACAAAATCATAATATAATGTTCTAAGTAAAAGCGTGCATTTAAAAATTCCCATCTAAGTCCCATAATTTTTAGAAAACTGTTTTGTGAT